AGAGTTTCTGCTGAAAGATCAGCTGTTAACCTTATGGGGATTCCCTTGTGTTGTTATTTGTTGTTTTTCCCTTGCTGCTTTGAATATTTTTTCTTTGTATTTAATTTTTGATAGTTTGATTAATATGTGTCTGGGCATATTTCTCCTTGGATTTTTCCTGTATGGGACTCTCTGTGCTTCCTGGACTTGATTAACTATTTCCTTTCCCATATTAGGGAAGTTTTCAACTATAATCTCTTCTAATATTTTCTCAGTCCCTTTCTTTTTCTGTTTTTCTTCTGGGACCCCTATAATTCGAATGTTCGTGTGTTTAATGTTGTCCCAGAGGTCTCTGAGACTGTCCTCAGTTCTTTTCATTCTTTTTTCTTCATTCTGCTGTGCAGTAGTTATTTCCACTATTTTATCTTTCAGGTCACTTATCTGTTCTTCTGCCTCAGTTATTCTGCTATTGATCCCTTCTAGAGAATTTTTAATTTCATTTATTGTGTTGTTCATCATTGTTTGTTTGCTCTTTAGTTCTTCTAGGTCCTTGTTAAACGTTTCTTGTATTTTCTCTATTCTATTTCCAAGATTTTGGATCATCTTTACTATCATTATTCTGAATTCTTTTTCAGCTAGACTCCCTATTTCCTCTTCATTTGTTGCGTCTGGTGGGTTTTTACCTTGCTCCTTCATCTGCTGTGTGTTTTTCTGTCTTCTCATTTTGCTTAACTTTCTGAGTTTGGGGTCTCCTTTTCGCAGGCTGCAGGTTCATAGTTCCCATTGTTTTTGGTGTCTGTCCCTAGTGGCTAAGGTTGGTTCAGTGGGTTGTGTAGGCTTCCTGGTGGAGGGGACTAGTGCCTGTGTTCTGGTGGATGAGGCTAGATCTTGTCTTTCTGGTGGGCAGGTCCACATCTGGTGGTGTGTTTTGGTGTGTCTGTGGCCTTATTGTGATTTTAGGCAGCCTCTCTGCTAATGGATGGGGTTGTGTTCCTGTCTTGCTAATTGGTTGGCATAAGGTGTCCAGCACCGTAGCTTGTTGGTCATTGAGTGAAGCTGGGTCTTGGCGTTGAGATGGAGATCTCTGGGAGATTTTCGCTGTTTGATATTACGTGGAGCTGGGAGGTCTCTTGTAGACCAGTGTCCTGAAGTTGGCTCTCCTACCTCAGAGGCACAGCCCTGATGCCTGGCTGGAGCACCAAGAGCCTTTCATCCATGTGGGTCAGAATAAAAGGGAGAAAAAATAGGAAAGAAAGAAAGAGAGATAGAGAGAGAGAGAGAGAGAGAGAGAGAGAG